TTGTTTGGTGTCGTGGACAAGGTTGACATTCTCAACACAACCCTTGGAAAGGCACTTGGTGGTGCCAGCGGTGGCCTGTCGTCGGGTTCCAAAGAAATTGTGGAGGTTCAGCGGCAGAAGGGTCGTCCGTACCTGTTCTCCAACACAATTGCGCCTGCCGCCGTTGGTGGGTCGCTGAAGGTGATGGAACTTCTTCAGAACTCATCCTCTGCCCAGAAGAAGCTACAAGAGAACACGCGGCTGTTCCGCACAGAGATGAAGAAGGCGGGTTTGACTCTCAGCGGCCACGAGGAGTGCCCTATCGTTCCTGTGATGCTCTATGACGCCCGCATTGCCGGTGAGTTTGCGTCCCGGATGATGTCTCAAGGAATTTACGTCATTGCCTTCAGCTACCCAGTCGTGCCAAATGGACAGGCGCGCATCCGCGTGCAGCTCTCCGCGGCGCACAGCACCGAAGATGTGATGCGTGCTGTTGAGGCATTCAAGACAATCAAGAAGGAACTCAACGTGTGATTTTTTTAAGAATAACAGGAGTAAACATAAAAAATATAAATTGAAAAGACGCTTGTTTCTGATTTTGTGTGCATACTAGTGGTTTTCACGCAATTAACTTTAAATAATTACATCATTTTTTTGTTTGTTTGTTTGTTTGTTTTGTTTTGTTTTGATGGTTTGTTTGTTTTTGTTACCGTTCCATTGTTATTATTATGGAATGTATTTGATTATCTGTCCTCACGCACATCTGTTGCTTGTGTATTTGCTTTTGGATTTTGAAATGGAGTTGTGCCGTTTTGCGTGTTCATTATTATTATTATTATTTTGGCCTTCTTGTTTTTTTTGTATAATTTTGTTGTTGGTGTCGTTTTGCTTTTTATTTCTCCGATGGCGTGTGCTTGAGTGGCGTTTGTGAGGACTAGCAGAGAGGATGCACCCACGTGCTTCAGGGCAGGGTGTATTTCCACGCTATGGTGGTGGGTGGATGCATCAGTTTGGTCATGTGTATGCCCTCCAACAGGAATTACTAAACCCACAGGCCAGCAATTGGTTTCGGGCGGTTGAACTTTGGCACACGGCGCGTCACGAAGGAGTTGCGCTCAATTCTGCTCATTACACATCCATTCTTAGGCAGTGCGTGCAGCCGAAAGCGTGGGAAGCCTCACTGCGGGTGCTTCGTCAAATGCAGCGGGAAGGCATCCGCCCAGACGTCGTGGGAGTTGGCTGCGTACTGGCCACATGCGCCGATGCCGACAGAATTTCTGAGGTTGAGGAGGTGTTCGATGAGTTTAGTGGGAAAATGGCCTTGGACAGCGTTTGCTACCTTGCATTGATCAAGGCAAAGATGGCTGGTGGTAGATGGAAGGAGGCCATAGCAGTTGGTAAGAGACAGGAGGCGGATGGTTTGCATTTTCTTCCATATACGTACACGCACCTCCTTGAGGCCGCGAAGGAGGCGGATGATGGGGAGTTTGGGCTTGAATTGGTGAGGCGCATGAAACGGGAGCAGTGGGAACTGTCGGAGAGGGGACGTGTTGCCTTCAAGAAGTTGTGCGTTCTTCACAATTGGGAAGCGGAGTTTGACCGGCTAGGGGGGTTTAGCGAAGAGGGTGTGTCGCGTCCCCAGCTGCCGGAGAGGTCTTTGTAGAAGAGGCTGTCGCGTGTCAAGAGAAAAGAATAAAATAAGAAAGTTGCTGCGTCTCGTGTGTGTGTGTGTGTTTTTCCTTCAAATCGCTCCCCTTGTTTTACGGCTTGTCATCATCAGCCTCGATGCGTTGTTGCTTCTTCTTCCTTGCGGCGTGTAGGTAACAGATGCCCAGCAAGAAGAGCCGCCGAAAGACTTCTCTAGCACGGCAAGAACGCGAATGCAGCGATTCACCCAAGAGCTCTTTTGAGCGTCACTCGTCCAATGAGCCTGCGAAGACTGCTGTTTGTGCTGTGGTGGCTAAAAAGGAAGTGAAGGTGAAGCCGGCACCGGAGAGAAGAGGGACGCGAAAAACATTGAAGGAAGAGGCGGAGTCAAGGTACAAATGGCCGTGCCGTATATTGGGTGTGCTTTGTGCCCTTCTGCTGGCCTCCGCCCACCTCTACTTTAGAACAGGCGCCGATCGCGACTTTCCATGCGAGTGCATTGCGTCAGGTAGTGGGCCATTGGTGTCTGCACTTGCGAGTAAACGTCTGGGTCTGACTGGTGTTCATCTTCACACTGCGGATCGTGCTGCGGTGGAAAAGGAGCTTACGACCCTTTTGACATGTGTAGTCCTTCACCGACTGACGGGTGTCTTTAAAGATGTCACCGAGCTTTCCACGCGCCTGCGGAAAGATGCCGCCAGCGCCAAGTGCATTATTTGGTTCATTCAAGACGTGGCGGTGGTGCGTGGTGTGGCAAACTCGCTCAAGGAGCTCCTTGAGGAAAACACACTGCGGGGCGATGAAATTTTGCCGGAGGGCTCCCGAGGCCTTTTTGTGTTGGTGTCCGACAAAAGTCGCCAGGAGTTGACCGACGTTCTCCCCCACCGTGTGGTTCACATGTTTCACACGATGGCTGTGTAGCGGGGGTGAGCGAATGAAAGAGAAGAGGAAAAAAGAAGCAGGACCGGAGGGTGTCGATGCGTGGAGTGGAACAGCCACATGTAGAGGTGTTGTGGGGTTGGTTGTTGTCTTTTGTCCCCCCTTGTTTTGAGAATTAAAGTGGCGGCACGTGTGTTGTTCTCCCCCGATTCGCTGGTCGTCGCGCTCCATCCCTTACATAGCCCTTTCATTCCATTCTTCTATCCCTTTGTTGTTGCTGTGTGTCGTGTTACCCCCTCCCCCGCCGCCGCCGCCGACTGCGCAGTCAAGCAAAAAGAAAAAAGAAAAAATTAAGCACAAAAACACTTAATAAAAAAAGCAGAAGGATGTTTTGTACGGCTTTGAGGTTCGCCAATCCCGCACTCCGCCAAATTGCAGCGGCGCAGATTGCTGCCGTGAAGGAGGCGGGCACGTACAAAGGTGAACGTGTGATCACCTCCAAGCAGTCTGCCCTGATCGATGTTCAGTCCTCCACCCAGCCCCTGCTGAACTTCTGCGCCAACAACTATCTTGGCCTCGCCGGGAACCCAGAGGTGATCCAGGCCGCGAAGGATGCACTTGAGACCCATGGCTACGGCCTGGCATCCGTGCGCTTTATTTGCGGCACAACCGACATCCACAAGAAGTTGGAGGATACCATGACGAAGTTTCTTGGAACCGAAGATACCATTCTCTATCCGAGCTGCTTTGACGCGAACGGCGGCGTGTTTGAAGCCCTGTTGAATGAACAGGACGCTGTCATTTCGGACGCACTAAACCATGCGAGCATCATCGACGGTGTGCGTCTTTGCAAGGCGGAAAGGCACCGCTACGCCCACATGGACATGGCAGAACTTGAAACCGCTCTTCAGAAGACGCAAGGCAAACGCATCCGGCTCATTGTGACGGATGGTGTTTTCTCCATGGACGGTGATGTCGCGCCGCTGGACAAGATTGTGACTCTGGCCGAGAAATATAACGCAAACATCATGGTTGATGACTCCCACGCCACGGGATTTATGGGTGAGGGTGGCCGCGGAACGCCGACTTTGTTTGGTGTCGTGGACAAGGTTGACATTCTCAACACAACCCTTGGAAAGGCACTTGGTGGTGCCAGCGGTGGCCTGTCGTCGGGTTCCAAAGAAATTGTGGAGGTTCAGCGGCAGAAGGGTCGTCCGTACCTGTTCTCCAACACAATTGCGCCTGCCGCCGTTGGTGGGTCGCTGAAGGTGATGGAACTTCTTCAGAACTCATCCTCTGCCCAGAAGAAGCTACAAGAGAACACGCGGCTGTTCCGCACAGAGATGAAGAAGGCGGGTTTGACTCTCAGCGGCCACGAGGAGTGCCCTATCGTTCCTGTGATGCTCTATGACGCCCGCATTGCCGGTGAGTTTGCGTCCCGGATGATGTCTCAAGGAATTTACGTCATTGCCTTCAGCTACCCAGTCGTGCCAAATGGACAGGCGCGCATCCGCGTGCAGCTCTCCGCGGCGCACAGCACCGAAGATGTGATGCGTGCTGTTGAGGCATTCAAGACAATCAAGAAGGAACTCAACGTGTGATTTTTTTAAGAATAACAGGAGTAAACATAAAAAATATAAATTGAAAAGACGCTTGTTTCTGATTTTGTGTGCATACTAGTGGTTTTCACGCAATTAACTTTAAATAATTACATCATTTTTTTGTTTGTTTGTTTGTTTGTTTTGTTTTGTTTTGATGGTTTGTGTTTGTTATTATTATTTCCCCTCTTTATCATTATTTATTTGTTTGGATATTCTGAAAAGAATGTTCACGATGAAAAATGGATAACTAAATTTAATTAATATTTCCCAATAAGACGAATACGTTTCAGTACCCGTTCTTTTCCATTATTATATAATCCTTTGGAAGGCCGCGATTGAAGGAAACGAAGGAACAGATAAAACGGTACGACGAAAGTACGCATATAATTTCTTTTTTTTTATTATTTTATTTTTGACATCCCATGCACACTCTTTGATTCCTACCTTGCGGGGCGGGGTCTTGCGGCTGGAGGTCCCCGGAGTCTACCACCTTTTATCTAAGTAAATAAATAAATATTTATATCTTCAATACGAATAGAGGGCAGCGTGCCACGATGGAGTCTATCAAAATGTATTTATATTTGGATCAAACATCGAGAGTGCGGCGAACTCACTACCGCTCCAATATAAACCCTCTTTATCCCCCTCTTATTTAATTTACACACATTTACATAATTTTAGGGTCCATCCAGCAATAAAGGCAAAAAAAAATCTGTTTGGAATGCTGTGTGAGGGGAGTAAGGGAATCTCTCGTCCTTTATGCTTCCCGCCTTTTTCTCTTTTTCCCTTTTCTTTTTTGTTTTTTGGGTGGGGAGAGAAGCGTCGCGTGTTTGTTTGTTTGTTTTTAGTGTACGTTGGCCTTTGCACAGAAATGCACAAATGTACAGAGAAATCTGATAGAGAGGTCATGGGACATGTTGACCAGCTGCTGGAGGAGTACCTTCGTGTCATTAACTCCAAGGACGATGAGATACACGAGCTTATCCGCGGCCTCGAGGAACGCCGTTGTGAGCTGCGGAAGAAAGAGGACACATACAAAATAGATGTGGTGAGCGCGCGGCAGAAGCTGGAGAGGGCACAGAAGAGAGTGAAAAAGATGGCAGAGAAAGTTCAAAAGAGTGATGAGCATATTGAACAGCTTGTGAAGCATAACGATGCTATGAGGGTGCAGGCGGACGAGATGCGGCGGAAACTAAATGAGGCCACTGAAATGTTAGAGGCGAATAGAGAAAGGCACTGCCGAGAGGTTGAGGAGTTGCGACGACAACACGCTGAGGAAGTTCGGTCTCTTCAAGCGGGGCAAGCTCATTTGCGGCAGCAGCAGGAGGCCGCGCAAAGGGCAATAGAGTCATGTGAAGCGAGGGCACAGCGACTAACTATAAAGGAAGCGGCTCATGAAGAGCTGAGGAAGGCATTAGCGGACGCGCGTCAGGAGATGGAGTCGATGGTCTCAGCACAAACGCATTTGGACGCCCTGGCGAAGTGCGAGGAGTCTATGCGCTCCCAGAGGGCGACGGCAGCTGCCGAGATTGACGACTTGAATGCGCAGTTGTCGAAGACGAAGCGGGCCGCTGCTGAGTATAAGGGTGAAATTGAAGAGCTGAATGCGATGCATGCGCAGTTGCAGAAGAAACTTGCCGATGCTCTCCGTGAGGAGAAGACGACACGCCAGCTGCTCGATGCGGAGCAAGAGTCGAGGAAAAATTTGACTGCAATGCATCAGAAGGAGATGCAATTAGCCCGTGAGACGGCCGAGAAAACGGCAGCACAGCTCACTGCGACGGTGGAGCAGCTGCAGCATGGTCAAGTCAGGATACAGACATTGGAGGGGCGACTTTCAGAGGTCTGTGAAGCGCTTGAGCAGGAACGTAGACGAGGCAGCGAGGAACGTGAAAAGACGTCATCACAATTAATGGCACTGAAGGCAGAATTGGTGGAGCAGCAGCAGGAGACGGAGCGGAAGCAACGGAAGTTGGAGGGACGCTCAACCGAGCTTAAGGAGCTTCATGCTGCCATCGCCACCGCAAAGGAGGAATACCTGCGCTGCACCGCCGAATTCAAGGAGAAACTGGCACTTACGACACTGGAACGAGATCGACTGCGAGAAGACCGTGACCGTATCAATTATGAGCTGAAAGACGTGGAGCATCAACTGAGCACTCTGCAGGAACGCTTCTCAGAGGAAAGGAGAGCTCTCACTACGCGAAATGAGGACGCTAGCATCGCCCTTGAAAGGATGAAGGATCAGCTGAGGGAAAGGGAGCATCAGTCACAAGCGTTGATTTCCGCGCAAGAAAAGCGTTTGCAGGAAATGGCATGGGCACATAAAACAGAGCTGGCAGAGTGCAAGAGAGTATTTGAGGCTGAAGCTAATGAACTTCGCCAACGCCTGAACTCTGCGAACGCAAAGTTGGCAGAGGAATTTGCTGAAAATAAAGCGAACCAACGTGAATTGCAGACTGCACATGAAGCTATGCGAAGACTTTGTGAGGAAAAAGACAAGCATGCCTCTGATGCCCGTGAGACCGCAAGAGCGTTGGAAGATGCAAGGCGCGAGTCCATGAGTCTGCGGGAGGCACTGGCGAAGCAACAGCAGTTGGTCGACGTCGCCTCAGAGAATGAAATGCGACTGCGGAAGTCAATGGAGAAGATGGAGAAGGAACGCGCGGCGAATGACAGGCGACAAGAGACCATTGCAGAGGCTCTTGGGACTGCAAAAGAGGAACTTGCGGTAAGTCGCAATGAGTTGACACAAATAAGGAATGAACTTGCGAAGGCACAGGACGAACGAGCCAAAAGAGAGTTTGCGGACAGTGCGGCACGGCTGCGTGAGTCGGAAAGGCGCGCCGAGCAGCTGGAAAAGGAATTGGCCACGATGCAGCAAGAGCGACAACAGCATCTTGCATCGCTGGAAAGGTTACGTGCGGAGTACGAGTCCATTCAAGCGTCGGGGCGAGATGCCAGGGACGACGCCTTCCAACGCCTGGATGCAGAGCTGCAGCAAAAGACGGCGGAGTACAAACGCGTCACACAGCATGCGAGGGAAGTGGAAGAACTTGCAAAACGCAGCTCCGAGGATCTGGAACGTGAACTTGCCCAGCGTGACGCCACCATTGGTTCGATGCAGCAAGAATTGTCGCGTCTCGCGGATGAACGTGCGAAGGTGGCGGTGCTTGAGGAGCGAATTAACCATCAGGCGGAGTTGAGCCGTCGGGATGCTGACCTCCTCCATAATCGCATCGAATTCTTGGAGAAGGAGCTTGACGCGCGCGAATTGCAGCTGCAGCAGAATGCAATGGATGCAGAAGAAATGACGGGGCAGATTAGTGCGCTGCAAAGTCGCGTGGCTGAGCTGGAAGAAAAGGTCGTTCAGAAGGAAAAGAAACACGCGATGCGGAAGGAGGCGCTGCGCAAGGCACTGGAGCAGGTTGATGCGGCCACGGAGAAGAAGGCGGAGGCAGAGAGCATGCTGGCGAGGTCGAAAAAGTCACGCGGAAAGAGCAGCGAACCCTACAAAACTGAGATGGAGCGGCTGCAGGAAGAAATAAAGTTGGCTCGTGCGGCGCAACACGCGGCAGAAATGCGATTATCGGTACAGGAAGAGGCGCTGGCGGAGGCGAAGAAGGCTTGAGCAGCACTCAGGAGT